GTAGGTACCTACTTATAAGTGGATTAACAGATCAATACAATTATAAATACGGTTTATTAAATGTTCAAAACAGCAATATTTCGAATAACGTATTCATCCATTGAATGGATATTGACAATGTGTTGAGGTAATCCAGCTGCATTGCTTTCATTAATGCTTCAACAGTGAGTGAGAAAAGATCTGTTGTTGTGGCTCAGCCACATTCACTGCTTGAATATTGTCACACAAACTGTTTCCTCTTTGTTTTCTCCAGGACCCTCAGACACGTTCACTCTTGATGTGCTGGTGTCTCTGCTGCGTCAGGAAAATGCAGCAGACATCTGTGTAATTAAAGTTCCAGACCAGATCAAATATGCCGAGTACTTCATTGTCGTCAGTGGAACATCCCAGAGGCACCTCCGGGCAATGGCACTTTATGCCATCAAAGTGGTAATGTTGTTTTTCTCTTTGTTACTGCTCATATGTGCAAACTCTATTTGTTTTTAAAACTCAACATGTTGTTTTCCTCTAGTACAAGTTTCTGAAAAAAGATGGTGATCCAAATGTGAAGACAGAAGGGAAGGATGCAGAGGACTGGATGTGTATTGACTTTGGTATATAAAACTCAAAGATTGGTTAAAGACTGGTTATGTTAACTGGTGTCTGTTAGTGTAGTTTCTAACCTCCATTTCTCTTCACCTCAGGTAATATGGTTGTTCACTTTATGCTGCCAGAGGCCAGAGAACTGTACGAACTAGAGAAGCTCTGGACACTCCGCAGCTACGATGAACAGCTGAGGAAGATGCCTGTTGAGAAGCTTCCAGAAGACTTCATCTATGATGTTGACGTCACAAAGTGACAACACAAGAAATCATCCATTCATAGGCTTAATTTAATTAGAATGTTGGGATAATTGTTTCCCATCTCTGTGGTATTTTTGACATGTTTATTAACTTGGGACAATGAAACACATTTTGCATGAACAGATCTCTAATGCATCAGCTGAACTGTAGAGTTACTACCCCATCAAATTGATTAATTTTTGACTATTTTTCATATTAGAGTTCATATAGTTCATAGTTTTTTTTATGTATTTCATGTGTTTCATATTCCTTGAGTCTGCTTCAGAAAACATGTTTAAGTTGATGGAAAAAATAAATTATTTTTATACTATTCTAGTTTTCTTTAAATTATTCTCTGAAAATGTCCTGAATGAACACACACGATCAATTCTGTAGATTTCTTAGAATTTCTGCTGCTAGGACTCCAGCTTTGTCCTTCAGCTGCAGACTATTGGAGCCATATTAACATTTGAGCCAACTTTATCTGGAAAAACTATTAAAATCCTTGAGTACAGTTGATAAAAAATACTTTAGACATTAAAAATGATCGCAGTAAATTCTAAACACATCGAACTTGAATGCACAGGAATAAAAGAAGGCTCATGAAATGGAAATATTCAAGAAAACCACCAGAACTTCAAAGTGCCCCTAAAGCACATTCATTTCAATGCACTCCATCACCTTCCACTTGTGAGCTCAATCCACTGAGCAGTTTGTTGTCTGCAAAACTTTAAAAAACCTTTTCCAAAGAGGAGATAATGTGGGGTTAACAAAACAAGCCACAACACTTCATGCTTTCAAGCAGAAATATGTGTCATGATGTGCATTCACTCTTCACCTACATGTGCTGAAATATTGCTCAGTAAATTGATCACATAAGGTCAGTCAGCACTTATGAAACTCAGAGCCTCTACAGTCTGCAACTGTGCAGTCTAAGAATGTTTTCAAATTATTGCAGACAAATATTTTTGTGGAGAATCAGCCTGAACCAAACCCTGAAAGATACTACATGAAAGCAGTCAGAGCATAATCACACACACACACACACACACACACACACACACACACTCTCTCCTTGTAAGTGACCATTCCGTTCCATTGAGCTGCTGTGGGTCCGGCACGATCAGGGCATTAGCTAAATGTGAAAATGTAATGAAGCAGGAGATGCCCACACAGAGTCTGACAGGACCTGGTGTTTGAATGTTTCTGTGCCTGTTGAGTTTACACTTAATATGGTCTGGAATTTAAGATCAAGACTCTCACTAATGTTCATATGAACACACAATCAAGGCCATTTAAATTGCACAATTTACATTCTAATTTGTATATAATGGTTGCACATGAGTAAAATCATAGAAAACCAGCGCCAGCCTTTGCTTTAGACCTTTTGTTCCCCAAACTGTGTTAAAACAACTACTTTCTAGTAGATAAGCAAATCACATAGTGGGAAAATTGAAAGGGGTGAAAAAAAAGATTAATTCTGTTACTGTGGCTAATGATCTCATTAAGCATTCAGCCATTTCACCAGCTCTTGTGCAGCCGTTATGAACATGCGGGAGTTGATATGCTCCATGATGGAGGAGATGGGAAAGAGGAGGGGGATTAATTGCCTCTTGCAAACAGCAGGAGCAGAGTTACACACTGAGCTACACAAGACATTTTGAGATGGTTCATATCCTTCCAATTGTTTTTGCTTAAATCAATAAAAACGTCTATCTATTTTAATAAAATTGATTAACAGTAGCCTATAAAGGTAATGTTTTGTTACAGTGAGAAAAGTGCAAATTAATCTCCAGTATGCAGAGGACTGAGAATAAATCATTTATCTCATATAACACACAACCTTGAGGGTTCAATGCCCAGTCAAACCACCCACCCTCTGTACTGATAGTTTTCTTATATTGTATCTGCAGTATAAGAAGTACAAGGACTAGAAGTGAGTATTTAGGTCCTTTGGTATCTGCCTGTGTGCAGCAGGTGGGCTGGAACCTGCCGTCTGTCTTTGGTTTTCTCTTGGCGGTCAGTGTTTATGAGGAATATTATCAGACGTGACACCTGAAGGGATCTCTGTGATTTAACCACCTGGTCAGTCCTCGTTTTTTTAGAAAGGTACAGTGCAGGCGGAAGTCTTCAAATGAGGTATTTAAAAAAACAGTGACTCCACAAAGCATATGATATTTGACACACAAGTTTTAGGATAGTTAAGTATAATTGTTATTGTACTGTTTATTTTTTTATTTTGGGAATCAAGAGTAAGCCCCTCATGTTTGACAGTTTTTTATAACTGGGTTTATAGTTCTTGATTCATGTTCCTTCTTATGACAGTGTAATGTCTGACAAATTGTTTTTATGCAGTTGTACTCTGCCCTGTCCAATTTTATTAAAAAATCTGAATCTGGAAAATAGACTGCTGTGTTGAAATCAAAGAAGATATTAAATTCTTAACTTCATTTCCAGTTTATTTTAATCAGATTAGCATTTTATTGGTTTGCTCTCCAGGGATTTTGAAGAATTCAAAAAGATAGCTTGGGTGTGACAGTCCTATCTAACAAAATCCTTCAAAACACCTTTTCGCCAGATGCAATGAGTTCTTTTTGGCAAACAACATCTGGATGACCTGTGTATAACATACGGACTAAAAGTTTGAAACTCTTACGTTCTTTTCCTGAGTTCTCACATGACTGTCGTAGGAAACAACAGAACCAATTTACTGTCAAATTTCAGTAGAGTGCTCTTCAAAGAAAATAGTTGTCATTAAAGTCATCTCACCATTTATTGGGTAAAAGCTTTTTGTGCCCTCTATCAACTGGAATTGAAAGTTTAAAGGGTTTGTGCAATTTACTGGTGTTTCTTCTTGTGTGGTTGTTTGGCTGGTTTGGCTGAAATGGTCGAGTTATTGTTTTAAGTCAAATGTATGTCAGTCAGGAGAGTTAAAACAGAAGGTGTAAGGCCACTGTTTTCCCTTCATGTAGATATGATAAATGAGAAGTCATTTAAAAAGATAAAGTAAAAAGATTTACTTAAGAGTTTAAGACTTTTTCTGGCTAGAAAATACAGATATCAATGATAACATAGACTACAGCTGCCTTTTCTTTGTAATGGTTGGGCTTCATTTTATTTCAGATTAATGTTGAATTTACTGCATCTATGTTACACTTTTCTAGTCTAAACGATGCTGTTTACAGATGCTCCCTTTAGTAAATAGTGCTTGACATTATGGGCTGATAAGTGAGCTGAGAGCTGTTTTACAAGAGCACATCCTTTTCAACCCTGTGACACAATGAAAATTAACGCTTATTTTTCCAGTCAACATTTTCTCTTAATCTGCACATCTCCTTTCATTCACGTCAGGAGAGAAGTTAGAGCCCTTTTCTATTTTCTTTATATAAGACTGAATGCCAATACAAATGTTACTGTTTCCTAATGCAGAGCCCCTTCTGCTGATCTATTCAAACTAAAACGTAATCTTCATAAACACCTGCGGCATCCTCACATATTTCAATTTAATGTGAAAACAAAAAAACTAATCAGCCACTTCAAGTTGTGCATCATCAGTTTTAATGAAACTTTTCATGCTGGTTATGACTCATAAGTGGACGGTTCTAAGCTTTCTACTAAATATTTATTTCTGTAGAAAAAGGACAGAACATGTTATGATCAAGAATTTTCTTTTCCTACTTTCCAAACACACACACTCACACACACACACACACACACACTCTCCTTGTAAGTGACCATTCCGTCACATATTCCTATATTCAACATGGCAAAACGAATAATTTAGAATAAAAAAACTACTCTGCAAATTGACATGAATCGATTATGTGGACCTCAGTGGATTTAAGTGTAATTAAACTAAGTGCTTGTTAAGGAATTGATCATGTTGTAAATGTGTGTTGACATAAATCTATAATAACTGAATCCTCAAAGCACGTTAACTCTTCATTTAAATTCGAATCAATCCCCAAATCTCTTTCTGTCTGTCCTTTGATTTTCCTTAGATCGACTGATGTGTTAAGTCCAGTATTTAGTAGAGTGGATGAGCAATTAGCCCTGAACCCATCTCAGGAGGCAGTAGATATTTCTCAGGAGTGACCTGTAAGTGAATGAAATGACCCTCCCTCCCCACTCGACACACACTCTATAAAACTGGGGTAACATGAGGAATCTGACAGAGGTGCCTCGGACAGTGAGAAAACCGACCAGAGCGGCATTAAGTGTCAAGTTATAATGTAAGACAAATTTTTATTTCTCGGTTTGTCACAGAAATGTCACTTTCCTGCTTGGAAGTCAAAGAGTTCTTATGCATCTGAAATCTTTTATGGTTTGTGAACTCTGGGAGAATGATGTTGATATTGTGAAATTGTTGGTTAATAATTTTTTTACCCTGAATTGTTTTAATTTTCCCTGTGATCCAGGATTCGCTCGAGCACCGTGATGTCGCCAAGTGTACTGGCTCTCTGCCTGCTGGCTTGTATTCACTCTGGCATTAATGCATATCCAGTCAAGCCGACAATTCCCCGGGAAGGGGCAACACCTGAGGATCTTGCCAAATATTACTCTGCACTAAGACACTACATCAACCTCATTACAAGACAGAGGTTAGTACTTAAGTTTCTATACAACATTAAAGTACGTGCAAAGATGTATTTATGTGCTGATTTTTTTCATCATATAAATTATAGGTATGGGAAAAGAGACACTCCAGATACTGTATTTTCAGATGTGTTGGTAAGGGAGAGTGCAGAGAATATTCCAGGATACAACTATATCAGGTAAATCATTTTATTAGTATTATCTATTTTATCTTGAAATTACAATGCTTTGCTGCTTATTACACATTTTGTCAACAACCTCCCTGCACTGATATCCACTGGATTTTTTTATGTTGTATATTCCAATGTTAAGCTATATAATACAAACAATATGATACTGAAAAAACATCCATACAATTTTGTGGAACGCTATTATATTCCTGTGAAGCTTGTGATATTGAGAAAATGTCCAATCAAAAGTGTTAATTGTAAAATACAATGATTTTTAGTTGTAGTTTTGGATTCTAATAATATTAAGTGTTGAGCATGATTATTTCTGTTAATGTGTGTCATTATTTAAATCCTATTTAATTTAATCTTAGGTGTTTTTTATTGCATGATTCTCTTGTGCTCTTTTTTAACTTTACTTTTTACCCATACATCCATATCCTTACATGGTTTTGATGCATGTCTAAAAAAACACTTTTTCACTGACGTCCTCATGTTACAGATACGATGGGTCACCACTGTGGTGATGCTGCTGGAGCCGTCAGACTGATCCCACAAAGCTGCTGCCTGTCTGTTACAGACATGAAATGAGGTTGTGTTGCATGGAAAAAACATTGTACAATAAAATGAGTTTGGTGTGTAATATTGCCAGTGTTACACTAAAAACACAGAGTAGACCTAGTTAGATTATGTAGTATTTATAGTGGAGGTTTGTTAAACAGTGTCTTGTGTCTTTCCCTGATGGACTAACAGTGCTCTCTACTGGTGAACTGGCATCTAAAGATTTGGACAATTTTTCAAATGGGACAAACACCTTGTAGTTCGTGTCTGCTGCTAATACTTTATTGGGGAATTGGGTTAAAATAAAAAATACAAATTGAATACATGAGAGTGTTTCATTTATTTCACTTGTTATATCAAAACCTGCTGAGATGCACCTGCACCCTGCCTGAACACAGATTAACCGTTTAATCCCATCAAGTGACCTGGATATATCAAATGCAAATCACGCAACGCTGAGTATTCGGTTAACTCTGTTATGACACCTGGTCCAAGCTTATGGTTCCTGTAACTATAGACGCTTTGAGGAAGCTTCATTGCAGCTGAAGAACCAGATTTGGTGAACAGAGGTACTGCTTGGTGCTTCATGTTGTCCTGCTGATGGGTTTTTACATATGATATTAGTTATTGGACACATGTGGGGGTATTATATGACATGCACTATTAACGGCAGCCAGATCTACAGTATATCCTCCTCATGTGGTAGATGCATGTTGTTGACAAGGTGACATTAACTTCTTCTGTCAAAGCCAGATGAGCGTTTAGTCACTAATGCAGCACTCCACTGACAGGGAACAGAGAGAGCCACTCAGGGAGGCCTTTTCCAATTTAAAGGACAGATTTAAACCAAAGGATTATCGCTTTTTAAACATTTATGGTGACCATCAGCACAGTGATATTTGTCTGTCAACTTTTAACATTACAGTGAGTACATTCAGTGTGTATCAGACAGTTATTAAGCATTTGATTTGATGGGGAAACAATGATGGAAGAAGCCATGAATGCACTTCACCTCCACTCCATTAACCCAGCACAGAGTGTGTGTGTGTGTGTGTGTGTGTGTGTGTGTGTGTGTGTGTAGGGGGCGCAGACACGCTCCCTCGAAACACACTTCACAAGTTACTCTTGCGCAACTTTTAGGTGGAACTTTGAGATGGAGGGAAACATGAAAGCGTGACTGGATGATACTACATCAGATCAGGTAAATGATCATTCATTCATTTCTCCACTCAGCCCGGAGACAGCGGGAGACTCTCTACTTCCTCTGCTCGCACTGTAACACACAGCTAACGGCAGCTAGCTAGCTAGCTAGCCTGAGCCGCATTCACTGTTAGCTGCTAACATGCTAATGACTGGTGTTGTCGCTAACTGAACCTCGCTGCTCACACGTTGCGGTGAAACGCTAACACGCTAATGTAGCTGGGTTAAATCTGCCAACATGGCTCATGAGTTTGAGGCGACTGTATTGTCCGTCACCATGAAAGCTTTCTTAAACGTTCAGAGACAAGCTAGTGTCTGCTAGTGACCATTAGCAATCCTAACGTGCCTCTTTGAGCTACACACGGTGCTAGCAGCGGCTACCACTAACTTGGTACGGGACAGTCACCGGGTCGATTTAACGGTAATTAAAAACTCTGACAGCACTTAAACACATTCTAATTCATTTTATTTAACATCCAACAGTTGTGTGCTAACATTAGAGTTAGCATTTATAGCTGCTATTTACTTACTAATGGCTACTTATCGTGTTGGAGGTGGCTACACGTGCTCAGTGCGTGTGTAGCGTGACAGAGAATATGAAGCTCGCGTGGGGTTGACAGCTTTGTGACCGTGTTTAACTTCAACTTAACCCACCGGCACCGAGCGCTCACCTCCTGTCAGGCTGCTCCTCATGCGCCCCGCACCGGACTGAGAGGCACCGAACACCGTGCCAACCTCAGCCAGCCCCGGTGCTGCTTCACTCGGCTCCATTCATTCAGAGCGGCTGCTAGTGTCTGAAAGATGAATGAGATTAAAATGAGAATCTGAACTCACAAATCCTCAAACTCTTGAATCTTCAATCATTGAAGTCTGGAAACACATCACTTTATCATGACATTGCAGAAAACCCTTTCTTTAGTGTAAATATGTGCACTGTTGTTAAGTTTTATGCACATGGTGGCAGTAGTTTGCCTCTAATATCAAACGAGACAATTGCTCAAAATGTATTAAATGGTAAATACAGCTGGTGTGTCCCTGCAGCCCAGATGATCAATTCATTTCATCAAGAGTTTACTATAAAATAACCTATACAGCTTTCTGTGTTGCCTTTAAATATCTTGTTTCAGTTTGGCATAACAGTTTAGTAGTAAATATTTAGTTTATATAAAATAATTAATAGATTGTAATTGTGGAATCCCCTTTGAGGCTTGATCTGACTTGGTTGTCGCAGTGTTGTACAACAATAATGGCTGCTTTACATCACTATGGCATTGCCCTGAACATGAAGATGCCCTTGAGATAGAGTGGAGCTTACTTCTAAGCATGTGCTGGTTTATCAGTACCCAGGAGGGCATTTAGGCTGCCTGTGGCAATTTAATTTTATAAAAAGAATAATGTGATTTCTTTTCTTTTTTTACACCCCTCCGTTCTCTCTTTAGCCCAAAGGTACTAGATGAGTGATTAGTAGAAAACGTGGGGCTCCGTGTTGGAGTGCTGCACTGATGATTTAAACACAGTTTGTAGGTGAGTGGCTTTGGTTTTTGGCTCTACATTATTATCTGGACTTTTGTGTCTTTGTTGACATTGTTTTGATGGACTACTGTGTTTTACAGTTAAAAATTGTGGTTCATCATCAGGAAGTCCTTACTTGTTTTTGTCCATCTACCTACTGAGGCCTTGCAGGACTGTCTTTGCCCCATTCTGTTGGGACAGCATGTCTGTATAGAGTTCCCAGGGACGACTCAGTGTGTGGCTGGCACAACCTAGAAGGACGAGAGACCCATTCTTTGACTTTCAATAGCCTTTGTGGTTCCCTTATTTCCCCAGTGCTCGCTGTACTAACATGTGCATTAAGACTAAGAAAAAATTCCTCAGTGCTATTTTGTGTCTCCATGCCTTCATATCTTCATGAGTCCTGCAGTAAAACACTTTAGCAAATGTCTCAGAATGCTCCTCTTTTTTTGCCCTGGCTTGTGTGGTAATCTTGGTGAACCGATTTTGGGCAGGTTTCCTACGGCCTGCGAACCTCCTGAGTTTCTCTGTCCTGAGCTGAGGAATAATAAACATGACTGTGGCCAATGAAAAGTCTGGCTCAGGTAAGTCACCACAGGCAAAGTCCTAAACAGACTGTTGCACAGGAACTGTTGCAAAATTTTGACATTTGGACAGAGATAGCTGTGTGGGTGAACATTCACATTTGTCCCACTGTGACATACAATAGCCACACATGGCAGAAAAAAAGAATATTTCTGAGTGTATCTAGCCTGGGAAAAAAAACAGATATAGGCCAACTTAGTCAAAAGTTACAAATCCTATTTTTATGGAAAGAGTTACAAAATGATATGTTATTTATTTTACTGTGTTATATTGACTGGTCAATATATGTCACACTCTTTATGTCATGCTCTTTATGCAAACCCAGTTAATTTGGCCTCAGTTTCTTGCTGTGAGCTCAGCATCCACAAGGCAGTCCTGTTCGTAGAACAATGCCTTTGTGACTCTGCGTGCTTGTTGCTGCTGCAATGGAAATGAGGGATGCTCTCTGTGAATTGGCCCATTGATTGACTGTCCACTTATTGTTCCTCTGTTGTAAGCTCTTATTATAGTCACAGTGTCTAGTTTTTTTTCATCAGCTTAGAATTTCAATTATTTGCATAATTACTGGCAGCAAGCTTTGTTTATCACTAACATTTCTGCCTGCATTTATAAAGTGGTGAATCTTAAACTCAAAGTAGAATCTTCTGAAACCAGCAATGCAGCAGGTGTTGGACAACCTGAAAGACCTACCATCAGGCACAGGAGCCAAAGATATTGATCTCATCTTCCTCAGAGGCATCATGGAGAGTCCCATCGTCCGTTCCCTTGCCAAGGTAACACACACACACACACACACACACACACACACACACACACACACACACACACACACACACAAAATGTTTATTCAAATGTGGAGTGGGAAATGGAGAAAGAAATCTGAATCAAGACCTGCAGTTTTTTAAAGAAAAATGTAAACCTGCCAACAAGCTGCATCTTGTAATTGCTATGACCTTGATGTTAATTAATCATGCTGTGTGCCAACTGATCTTGTGTCAAGGTTTAAATTGCTTGCAGGAAATATCTACTTGCCAGGGTGAAGTGTACTGCCCACTGTGTGCAAGGTGACAGTACAATTCCTGTGTCTGTCTTAAAAGAAACAATCAAATTTTCAGTATTTGCCAAAAGTGTGGTGAATAAGTGTCTTGCATAACAGAGCAAATGCGCCAATGCAGATTGAGGTCATCAGGTTCAACTACTATGTGTATAAATAGAATGATTTCTATATAAAAACCTGTCACCAAGGGACGTTTGTGTCCTCATTTCCTACAAACAGAGCTCTGCTGTCTTAAAGCGTTAGATAATTTCCTGTTAGATGGGCCAATGAGTAGTTTAATGTCATGTGCCAATTGAATGCCATCACTATGTGAACAGTTGTCAATTACTCTGTCTGTTGTGTATCACAGTAACAGTTAGAGGAAGAATATGACATTTTGATGGTGCCTCACTATAATTTGATATACAAGTTGTTGGCACAAGAGTATCAAGGTTATATAGTGCTGTATCAGTTGATGTGTAACGACATGGTGACGATCTAATTTCCCTAAGCCTACACCAGGCTGTGATGCTCTTCTCAGTAGTGCTAACATGGCACAAGTTTCTCAACCGAGATCCCTGAAAAATACTATGTCACTATATACAGTATATCCATATTGAGATACAAAAATCACAGAGACAGAAGATTTTTTCCCTTTCGTGCACCCTACTGTCTTTCTACTGCCTCACGGAATCAACACCAATCAGTACAGTACAGTCGTCATTCATTATTTTCTTCACCTTGTGCAAGTGGTGGGTTAGAAGTTCTTCAAGTGCTTGTGTGTAAATAGCCACAGGATCATATAACATCCAATCCGAAGGTTTCTTATAGAAAAAGTATAAGATTGAACTAGTCCACTTCACATCAGCTTGCACAGAAATGTGTGTAAAGCTATTATACACCAGGTGGTATTTCATTCATGTATGTAGATGGGTTGAGTACTCACTTTAGCAAGTGAAAGAAGTTGTCATAGTGTC